GTGGGCAGTGTGGCAGCGTGGGCAGTGTGGCAGCGTGGGCAGCGTGGGCAGTGTGGACAGTGTGGCAGCGTGAGCAGTGTGGCAGTGTGGACAGTGTGGGCAGTGTGGACAGTGTGGGCAGTGTGGACAGTGTGGCAGCGTGAGCAGTGTGGCAGTATGGCCGGCGTGGGCTGGGCTTCGGTGTGGCCAGCGTGGCCAGGGTGGGGCTGACTGGGAGTGGCGCCTCACCCAAGCACTCTCCTTCCTTGAACTCGTAGCCTGGCTCGCAGGTGAGCTCCTGGTAGCAGCGGAAGGAGCCCACAGTGTTCAGGCAGTGCTGGCCGCGGCTGCACGTGTGCAGGTCTGTCACACACTCGTTGATGTCTGCGGGGAGGACGGGGTGGCCATCAGAGCCGGACCCCTCCAGAGCCCGGGCCTGCGTCTCCACGGCCCACGGCCCCTCCCTCCATGGCACTGTCCAGCCTTGCCACGGGCCAAGCACCAGAGGGGCGGGGAGTAGACGGAGCCCCCTAGAGGCAGCATGGCTGGGGAGGATGGTGAGGCCAGCAGACGCTGGGCTGAGCCGGGCTGATCTCAGAAGGACCTCGGAGCAAGAAGTAGAAGGGCTGACACAGTCCAGGCAGAGGAGGACATGGGAGAGCCGCGGGTGTGGCTGAGGGGGAGAAGGGAGACCGTGAGCGAGACCGGGCCAGGATGCAGGACGGGAGCCACAGAAGGTTCCGGGCTGGGGAAGGACGGCGCGGGGGGGGGGGGTAGGGAAAGCCAGAACCAAGCTGCATCGGCAGAGGAGGTGAAGGCCGGGGAGAGAGAGCCGAGAGCCTAGGGCTGTGGGCTGAGAGGAGGGACAGTGCTGGGGCCCATGGGGAGGCGCGGGAGCCCCAGGGTAGGGAGTGCAAGGGTCAGAGGTCACCAGAGGCCCGGGGGGGGGGGGGATGCTCATTTAGGGTGATGGGAGGGCTGAGGTCACTGGAGGGAGAGAGAACCTGGAGACCGGGCCCAGGGCCGCCCTCCAGCCCCTCCACAGATAAGAAGCTGGGAGGGAGAGGCCGGCTGAGAAGGGGGATGGCTGGGGAGCAAAGGTCAGCAGCCCGTGGCCCCAGCCATGATGCAGGATGGGGGAGGGGGTTGGAGCCATGGCCTCATCCTCCTGCAGCAGCAGAGGGTGCTAGACAGCTGTGAATGGGCAGAATGGGCACAGGCAGAACACACCAGCCCGGCTGGCCCCAGAAGCACCCTCCACGCCCCCCCCCGGCCCCCAGCAGCCATCACAAGGGAGAGCACGGCCAAGCCTCTCTGGGGACCGGCAGCCCCACGGTCCCACAGTGCCCCGCGTCAGATAGGGAAGCCAGCCTCTCAGACACAGGGGTCCCTGCGCTCCAGCCGGGAAGCAGCCAGGGTGGAGGGCAGAGCGCAAGTGTCTGCAGGGAGCCCTGGATGGCCATTCATGGCTGCTGTGCTGCAGGAGCCCGGGGGCTGGAGCTGCTCCCCTCCCCCCTCCCCTCCCTTCCTCTCCCCTCTCCTCCCCTCGAGGCTGCGGCTCGGCCCTTCAGGGGCCGCTGGGACATGCCAGATACTGCGCCACAGCTGACGGCAAAATCCCGTCCAGGTCCTTTGCATGGACCCACCCAGGCCGCGGGCGGGGGTGGGGTGGGGGGGTGGGGGGACCTTCCACACCGTCTGGAGGTGGCGCCCCCACGGCTGAGAACGTGGCCCAGCCAAGTGAGGCCCTCCTCTCTCACCTTCGGGCTGACTACATGTGTGGGACACACAGGCATTGCCCC